ATCTAAATAAATACAACTCTATGGAAATTAATTATTTATTATCTCCGCGAGCGATCGCAGTTTGCGTATAGTTCTGTGTAACTGCATAGATAAACCGCGCTGTCAGCAGGCATTTCATAATCTAGAAGGACAAAAACATTATTAATAATTCTGATATAACATTCTAGTTGAGAAATGCAATAAAATACGATGTTTTGTTTGTTATATTCCAATATTCCAGAGAATATTATTCAGTGAATTAACATTATCCAGTGAATTATTCTTGACTCTGTAGCTATTAAACAACTTATAAACCTACTAAAACTGTAGTTTAAAATGAAGTTGATACGACTCCTGTCCTTTATTTATTTTCCCCATTTGAAAACATTAGACAGTCTACATTTATTTTGCTTATTGTTAATATTAGTGTTGTTACTGTTGATGCTTGAAGTGTTGATGTTTTTTATTGTTGTAATATGAAGATTAAATTTAACATGAAAGACTGCTAATTTTCAACACTTAAAAAAAAAAAGATGACTGAAAAGAGGAAAAACCAAAGTGAAGTATGTTCTTACTTCACTCAGTCATTTATTTACTTTATAACAGTAAATAAATATCGGTTCTGCATATCGGTTATCGGGCACAGAAACACGCAAATAATTGGTATCGGTTATAAAAAAAATCAATATCGGTCGATCACTAGTTTGAATCATCAGTGGCAAATTCTTTAAATATAAAAAAAACAGCCGGCATTGTAGTCTACTCTACCAAGATCAGGAAACAGTCCTCCATAAAATGTGCTGCACACATCTGAATATTTGGGTTGAATTGTTCTGGAACAGTGTTGTAAATACAACTTAACCACTGATTTCTAGTCGTGTCCTCTTTTGAAAGGCCAAACAAAGTAGTTTCGCTTTCACAACGAAACACAGCATCACACACGGAGGCCTAGAGTGAGCGGAGGCCGGCGGGCTTGCGGCAACCACATGTGACAACCCCGGGCTGGACTCAGCTTTGTCCACGGTGAAAGACGATCCGGCGATCCACAGCGCGAAGTTGATGTATTTCCTCAGCGACCAGCACAGATCAGCTCCAGGCATGACGAAGCGGATATCGTCCTCTTTTGGAAGGCCAAACAAAGTAGTTTCGCTTTCACAACGAAACACACAGCGCCTTCACGACATGGCGGCAGCAACAATACTAAAGCAAGAATAAAAGTTATGCCTTTCTTTGCGTGAACATTTGGGCGACGTTATGCAAATCTTCCCACATCTTGACGTAGACATGTGGGGGCGTGTTAGAACGAGCCGTTTTAGGTAGGCGTGGCTGACTCTTAACTTTTATAAAGAATATCTCTTTGGATTTGAGACTTTAGTCT